AATGTCAAGGTGTGACATTCAAGCTTAAGGACAGATGCCAAATTCCACTTCACCATGCCTTTTGTCTGACAGGAGGCTGGTCACGTGTCTAGACTATGGGCAGGGGGGTTTCACGGGGCACTCAATCCACGTAGGGACCCTGCAAATAGATTTTGGGCTTCCACTATTCTACACAGCATTCCGAAGCTGGCTGTTTAGAATTTAGGCATTAGTACCACTCCCTCCTCTGGATTTGGATCTTATTTACAAACCTTGGGTCACATAGCTAGTGGGCTTCTTATTTGGGGACGTAGCTGACTCCTCCCTTAGATAGCTGCTTGATTTCAAACAAGCCTTTAAGACCCCAGACACTCTTTCCTGATAGCCAGGCACAGGTCATTCCATCTTGAACGTTTTCCAACATTAAGTGAAAAAGTAGAAGAACAAACTGCTGTTTACGCTCTCACTACCACTATTTGTAAATCATTACCTATCTGAGGAGGGTCTAAAATAAAATGCTGCAAACTAGCTGGGAATGACAATATGGTGACTATATTGCACGGTTTTCTCTTCCTTGATCTGATAAATATCAGTCATGATAGAAAAACAGGTTCTGAGATGAAAGCTACAAGAGCCAAAGTAATTTACCTAGAGCGGAAAGCACACCTGTATGTAGCTTGGTTACAGTCATCACACGCAGGACAAACGAGTTGCTTAAAAACAGGATGGGAAGCCCATTCACTTTTGAGTCCCCAGAGCCTAAATCCAGCACAAAGTGGAAGCCACCGGCATTTCTTAACAAATATTATTTAGGTCCCCGGGGGTGGCTCAATCACACAGGAATGGATTTTAAACAGAAGCATGAGAGATTTTGGGCAGTTGTGACTGAGTCTTTGTTGAGGTTGGTGAAAAAAATTGTAGAATATCTTTAAAAAAAAAAAAAAGTAAAAAGAGAATATATCCATTTGCCCAAGATAGCTTACTTTACACCACCATCTTCCTAAAGCAGGTGGCTAGAGCGGGTGGGCTTTTCCATTCCTGTCCAGGTGTAAGATTCTAGCTCCTGCTATTATTCCAGAGCAGATGGCTGGCCCTGTTTACCAGGTGAGAAACTCAGCTTCTACCTCAGCACTGAATTTTATAGTAATCTCAGAGGAATTAGATTTCTTGCTTGTTCCAAAGATCATATAACCGAGCTCAAGGACCACAGCCGGTGAGAACACGAGGCAGATGGCATGCCCTGGTGGATCAGAAACTCCCTTGCTAAAAAGCCTGAAACTACAGCTGCTGTGAGGTGCCGTCAGGCCCGTTCCAGCCTGCGGCATCTCCATGCGGAACACAATGACACACCACGCGGTCCTGGGCCTCCTCACCAGGTTTCTTATGCCGGGGCTCATCGCTGCAGCCACCGGGCTGATGCATCTCCCCGAGGGCCCTCCTCTGTTTCTCTGACCTTCTACTTGACCAAGAAGATGTAAGATGCCCAAGAATATAAAATACCCACAGTGGTCATCTCCTGGAGATACACTCCGTGGGAGATTCAGTGCTTCAATTTCTTTTTAATGTATCTACATGGTCCACAAGGAACACGGGGTGATTTCTGTAGAGAGAACGTTAACTTGCTTCTAACATTGTGAGACGATTAGAAGGATTAAAAGAGTCTCTCTTCGAATACAGTTTCAGGATTGAGCGACTCACCACTCCAGAAAGCATATAAAGTGATATTAAAAAGACAAGGGAAACATAAACCGTCTTTTCGTTTCCTCCTTTTCCTCTGCTGAGCAAACACCCCCTTGTACAAACCCACATCCCCGGATACACACCCTGTACCTGTCTCAGCCTGTCACCGGGCAGGGTGAGGAGCGCTACAACTTACCATGGCCATGATTCAGTGTCAGGATCAGAGTTCAATCACCGGAGCAGAAGTCCCTCTGTAATAAAAGCAGAGAGAGGGGGAATTACAGTGATAAGGGAAATAGCCCTGAAATCATTAATCAGGATAACCTTTCGTTCACAGGAGTTTAACCACGAGGAAGTGATAGCCATCTTCGTGAAAAGTTCTCATGACTCAAAGATACAAGAAGCAGGTTAATAGCTGTTAAAAATTATTGGAACAAGGAACTTGAGTATCCCAGAAAGATAACTTTCCTATCTGCTTTTCTATTTGGAGACAGGCACTACAGAAATTGCTGCTATTGTTTTATTAGGGTGATGTAACATTATTTGTACTCAACGCAAACATTGATCCTGAACAGTGTATTATGGAGAATCCAAATGGTACATCAGGGAAATAGGCTTTGTATTCCAGCTTACTGTGTGTGTGTGTGTGTGTGTGTGTGTGTGAAAGAGAGAGACATGAGAGACAGACAGACAGACAGACATGAGCGGGAATGGACAAAACAGGCTAGAGGGCCCAGCCAACAATGGATTCATTTCATTTTCCTAGCGGCCACTTCCACTGCCACCATCTCAGGACCTAGAGGGGCTCCTTCCCTGTGACCGGCAGCCTCACACACACACACAACTTGGTCCTCAGTTTGCTTCAGCACCCGCTCGTTTGTCAAGAAGGTGCTACAATCAATGGTAACATACTTATTCAGTCGTTCAGAATGCAGGCAACAGCTTCATGCTAGCGTAGGAATCTGGGGGGAGTTCACATGATATACGTACCTCCTCCTGTTTCTGAGTCACACGAACAAGGCTCCCTTCCTAAGCATCTAGCTCAAACCCAACTGGAGCCCTCGTGGTGCAGTGGTTGTGAGTTGGGCTCGATCTCCAAGGTTCGCCATTCAAAACCACCAGCCACTCTAAAGGAGAAAGAGAGGGCTTTCTACTCCCATAAACAGTTGCATTCTCAGAACTCACAGGGGCAGTTCTACCTGCCCTATAGGGTCGCGGTGAGTCAGCAAAGGCACGATGACAAGTGAGTGAGAGCCGTGCTCCTCAAAGGATGGTCCTCAAACCAGAACCCAAGCATCACCTGGGGGCTTGTTCTCACTCACTGTCCTCAAGTTGATCCGGACTCAGAGAATCCCTGTAGGGCAGGTTCGAACTGCCCCTTTGGTTTTCCCAGACTTTGAATCTTAATGGGAGCAGACAGCCTTATCTTTCTCCCATGAAGCAACTGGCAGATTAGAACTGCTGACCGTGCGGTTAGCAGTTGGTGCAGAGCCCCTTACATCACCAGGACTCTAGAGATTGGGAGCTTGTTAGAAATGCAGACGTTCAGGCCCCACCTCAGCCCTACCTAAGGACCTTAAGATCTGCATTCTAAGAAGATTCCTAAGATACAAGCTTTACAGTAGCTTAAAACCACTGGCCTACACAGCCCTACCTACCGAGCAGCACTTTCTGGTCACTCCCTAGAATAACAAAATCCTTCTTCACCCACTTTATTGACACCCGAGCCACGTTGGGACACATTCTCTCTTCCTTTCCAGCTCTCCGCAGGCCCCACTCCCTACTCCCACGGTTCCCCATCCTTCACTGCAGACTTACATCCCCAGTGACAAACACAACACAGTGACTGGGAGTCCATTCCAACTCAGGATGCCTCGTGTGTCAGAGTAGAACTGTCCTCCACGGGGTTCTCAATGGATGATTTTGTTGGAAGTAGATCTCCGGGCCTTTCCTCGGAGGTGCGTCTGGGTGAACCTGAACCTCCGATCTTTTGGTTAGGAGCCAGTGTGTTAACTGTTTATATCACCCAAGCACGCCACCTCATATTAGAGAGGTTCGTTCCCTTCCTACAGGAATGCCAGTTGGTTGTGGGGCATGGCCTAAGCAAGGGGGTAGAGGGAAGAATGAGCCGTGGTTCAGGGATTACAAGGAGAAGAGGCTGCTAGGAAAGGGGGCTTATTCCAGGGAAGGCTCAGAGGTAGGGCAGCAAAAGCAGGTGGGGGCTAGTCAGGTAGGGGCAAAGACCCAGAGAGGGAGCAGACTCTGTCATGGGTCGTACATACGCTGTTTGGAAGGAAGAATGTGCAATCACCAATGATTGCTGTAGTTGATGGAATGAATGAGACCAAGTGCCTGCCTCTAAGGCGCTTACAGTCAACTAGGAGGGAAAAAACAAATAAATAGGAGAGTTTCAGATACCAGTAAGATGGAAACTCTGTGGGATGATGGGGCATTGATTAGCATGGACCAATCCTGCTTATGCATGGCTTTTAGAGAGCTTGGCTGGCACAGAGGTTTGTGAAGGCCTGCCCGTCCAAAGGCTCCTTGGGCAGCAAGGCCTGGCGATGTACATCTGCAATGATATGGCCAAGAGAACCCTCTGGAGTCGTTCTATCCTCTCTCTCTCTCTTACACACACACACACACACACACACACACACACACACACACACACACACACACAAGCTGGGGGCCTGATTCAGTAGTGGCTAACCACAAGCTAACAATAGCCTTTACAGCTCAAATGGCCAACAAAAAGCAGACAAACATTTCCTGGCATGTGAGAATTACATGAAATTCAGATTCAAATAGAGTGTCCTGGGAGCTTGGCCACCCCCATTTGCTTGTATACCGACCACGGCTGTGTCCACGGGCTGGAGCGAGTGGTTGTGATAGAAATCGTGTGGCCAGCTCTAAGTGTCTTCTACGTAACCCTTCACAGAAGAGGTGCGCTGAGCCCTGCAAGACAGGAGGACCTGATGGGAAGGAGTTGGCCCGGATAGAGTGATCCGGGAAGGCACCTCGGGGAAAATGACATTCGTGGACCAAGGAGGAGGGACTGGTCACTCAAAGGTCTGGAGAAGTAGGGTTTCAGGCAGGGGCAGCAATCCGTGGAAAGGTCCCTAGGTAGGAATGAACTTAGGAGGGTTGAAGAGTGGACAAAAGTAGTGGAAACGAGGGTGGGCTTGGTTATGGTTTGAGGCTCGCGCACGGACAGGGCCATCTGCCATGGGCACGGAAGGGCGCTCCCTCCCCCCAACCCCCTCATTTTCCCAACATGCACTGGGAGAAGTCATGCTGGAGCGATTTTCACTTTCAATGGTCCTGGGCACGCCTTCATCTGAGGCCCTGGTCCACTGTCCATGTCCTCTGACTCACTAAATGTACCCAGATGCCATCGTAAGTGTCACTTATAGGAGAGAAGAACAGAGTTGCTGCTGATTGGCCGGCAAACCTGGTGACATGGCTTTTAGGATCAATGGCTCTGTCTCCCTTCCTCCCCCCACCCCACCCCCAAAGCCAGCGTTTTATATGAGCATCTCCACCCCTTGTTACCAAGCCAATAAGTACTTAAGCAAAGCCTTCTGGAAATACTGAGAGCTATTATTCAATGAGCTACAAATGTTTTACCAAATGTTTCCTACTTGAACACTGGGTTCTTCTGGCCAATTTGTTTTGAAACTTGGACAGCATACAGCAAAATTCCATTTATAGAGAGACGCCCACTGAATATTTCTTTGCCAGTTCTAAAGGAATGTCTACATGGATTCTAGAAATCGATGCGGAAAAGTGGCGCTCCTTGATTCGTCCACTAGAAACCAGATGATACATATGAAGGGAGCCCAGGCAAATGCTTCCCAGCACAACACCTGGTCCTCGACTCCCCGTCCCCCACCAAATAAGCAAGCCCGGTTTCCAGCAAGTCCAGTCTGACTCATGGGCACCCCATGTGTGTTAGAGGAGAAAGAATTGAGCTCCACGGGGTTTTCAACGACTCTTGATGTTTTTAAGACATTGTTTTAGAGCAGCGGGTCTTAACCTGTGCGTAGCGACCCTTTTGGGGTTCAAAGAAGCCTTTTCTTTCACAAGGGTCACCTAAGACCATCGAAAAACACATACTGGTATTTCCGATGGTCTTAGGAACCGAGACACCTCTCCTCTATCTGTCTCCAGGCGGGTCCAACCACATGCAGATCTATGCTGATCTGTTGAGCAAGAAGCTATTTCAACCTTCGCACTGATGTTGGCTTTTCTATGCATACTGTCGAAAAATGTAGCAATGTAGTTGACTGTTGTTATATTAAGACTGTTACCCATGCTACACCATGCTCAAGACAAAATTTCATTGATTAGTCATTAGAAATAAATATTTCGCAATATAGAATGACATACTGTTTTGGTGATGCATCACCATGCTTTAATTATGTTCAATTTGTAACAATGAAAACACATCCTGTCTATCAGATACTTACATAATGATTCATAACCGTAGCAACATGACAGTGATGACGTAGCAACGAAAATAATGTTATCGTTGGCGGTCACCACCACATGAGGAACTGTATGAAAGGGTCTCGGCATGAGGAAGGTGGAGGACCACTGTTTTAGAGTGACGGACAGCCACATGGGGACTCGGTACACGGTTACTATGGGGAAAATGAGTTATATGTATGTTCCATTTATAAGCTTAGATACAGCCAGAGAAATAGCTCACAAGGGACGAAGGGAAAACTGGAAATGCCCAGGATGTTTTCTGGATGGATGCTCAGCGGGATCATTATTACACGTCCCCCACAAATGGCCCTGGTGTGGCACCGCCACAAATGTTTTTGGCAACCCACAAGCTGAATCAAATATGGGGGTTCTCTTGTCCCGACGGGAGACTGCAGGCATGTGAAACAAGGACTTCTGACGTGAAGCCAAATTCCCGTAGGCTGTCTGTCTGTCCATCCATCCAAAGCCCCGGTGGCAGGACAGTGAGGCTGCTAACCGGAAGGTGGGCAGTTTGAACGTGTGGCCAGCAGCCTCCGGGCAGAAGACCTGGCCTGGTAACCCGCTCCTGATGAGGCTGCTCCGCAAGGCCCCCTCCTCCTTATAGTCCTCCCAATGCCAGTCCTGACCAAAGCCTCTTCATGGGAGGAGGGAATAGGAAAAGCTTGCAGAGAGCTTCAGAGGCAAACGATGTAAAACCTCTAAGAAGGGGCTCCAGCCGCTTCTGCGCACACTCTGACACACACCTTGCGCACACTGT